GACGGGCCAAGAAGGCCCCGAGACTCCTCCAAGACGGCTCACGAGAGCTCCGAGGCGCCAAACGAGCGCTCCCAGACGCCCAATATGGCCCCAGGACGAGCCTAGAGGCGTCCAAGACGGCCCAAGAGGCCCCCAACAGCAGTCCTCAGAAGAACCGCAGCGCCGAAAATCGTCGAATTCCTATGGGGCAACGTACACTTAGATCATATACTACTTGTCCGCCTTCACGGCGTTGAAGACGGTCCCAGAGCACCCCGAGACCGCCCCAAGAAGCTCCCAAGAGGCGCCCAAGTCGGCCAAAGAGGGCGCCAAGACGGCCCAAGAGGCCCCCAAGCCAGCCCAAGAGGGCCCCAAGACGGCCCCAAGAGGTGCCCAAGAGGGTGAGCCCGAACCGACAATCCAAGCCCTCCGCCCCAAGACGGCCCCAGAAAGCCCCAAGAGGCCCCAAGAGGCCCCCAGGACGCCCACAAGAGGCCCCAAAAGGCCCCCAAGAGGCCCCAAAACAACATCGAAACGGCCCCCAGCAAGAAATATACGGGCCCCAACCCAACGCTTCTACCCTTTGGGCATCTCCAGAACGATGCCAGATTGCATTAGCGTCTTTTCTTTTCCGATGGGCCCCCCGGGGCCTCGAGATGACCCCAATCGGATTCCACATGGCCCCAAGAGAGGTCATCGTGGACCCCTACACGACTCCCCAGCCCGATTCAAGCGAGCCGGCAAACCGCCAAGATGAGGGGTCGGCGGATGTGGCGTAAGCCTATAGAATCAGCTTACTGGCATCATTGTTGATCTTGCGGCGTCTGCCATCGGGTAACGCGTAGTAACCCTTCTCGAGCTTCTGCAGTAAATCCGCAGCGGCTATGGCAGCGTCGGTCTCCATGCTCTCGGCGCTTTGGCCTTGCAACCGTTCCCCTCGCTTGATGCTCAGGCTTGCTCCGAGATTGACACGCTCTCGAAAATATAGATTCCACAAGGCCGGCGCGAAGCCCCAAGTGCGTCGGAACTGGCCCTCTATCCGCTGCGGCAAGCCGCGCGCGAGGTCAAACAACCTCACCGTGGTCGCTGGCCCCATCGCAAAATGAGCGTTCGGTAGTTTCCGCTGGCCTACGCCCACTGACGGTTCGAGCCAACTGCGCAGAAGCCCACGAGGAGTTGGGAGATCTCTCGTCTCTGGTCGACGCCAACGAGGTTGGTTCGGGACGTCGTATCCGCCAACGGCACGCGGCAGCGTGAAAGGAAACGCCATGCCCAGGTACCAAGCGGCATGCTGGTTGGTCAGGTCCGTCCCGCTCTGGATCTCGACATCGCCGAACCTTGCAAACACGGACTTGTAATTCTCAGATGTTCGACTCGGCTCTGGTGCTCCGCTCAGCGACGATATAGGACGGGCTCAACACAGAGACGAAATCCTCTACCGGTTTTGCCGGCTCTGGAGGCGTCGCCACTTTTGTCTTGAACGATGGAGTCTTTGGCCCCGTCTAGCTGTTGTACCGCATCCTGCACTGCCTGCGGGATGAACTTCGCCTCCCCGTATTTATCTGCGTATTTCTGAGAGTACCTTTCGTGGGGGCGGGTTGCCGCTCTGTCGAATGAGTTCAGGCCGTTGTTGCCATAGCCTGGACAGCCGCTGTCGCGCATGATCTCGATCAACTTTTGCATTGCAGGAATGCGCAACGTGAGCCTTTTCAGGTGCTGCGCCAGGTCTTTGCTGCCCCCCTTGATGCGCACGTTCACCAGCATCGCCAACGTCTCCTCCGAATGTGGCACACCGAGAGCATCCTGCAGCAACCTCAGCCGGCCCCCGTGGATCTCTTCGGCGTGCTGAGACGCTTCGCGACAACATCTCTCGATATCGTCCCACGGCATGGAGAAGCTGAAGAGATTGCCCTTCTCAGGGCCCCGTAGACCCGGACACGCTGGACCCGGACGCCCAACGCCCCTCGAAACCAAATTTTCCAGACGGCGGCACGAACGAAATACTGCACTGCTGCATTTCGAGAATAAACCCGACCACAGGCCTCAAAAGCCTGCAAGACCCCTCTAAACCCAGACACAAACCCGAGTCCTGCAGTGCAGCAAGCACAACTTGCACGGGTGCTGAAAAACGTTCTGAGGGGGCCGCGTTCCTCGTCCTTCTTAGCAAAATCATTGATTTTACAAAAAGGTTTCGGGCTGATTTTGTCCTTCTCAGGGGTCAGCGCTTACTAGCGCTTCTGAGGGGATCGCCAGAGACCCCAATATAGCCCCAAGAGGCCCCCAGGAGGCTCCCAAGAGGCCTCCAGGAGGCCCCCAAGAGGCCCCCCAGAGGCCCCTAGAGGTCCCCTCGATGCTTTTTTTTTTTCACCCCAGATCCAGCGCCGCGGACTCCGCCACGCTGGAGGCTTGCCACACTGAGCTCAGTGCGGCCCCGCGAGGCCCGCGGCCTCACCCACCTCTCCTCGTGGGCACCATCTCGGCGAGGAGCGGCCTGCCCGTCTGCGGGTGGCAGCCGCGGAGGATGCGGTCCCGCCTCTTCCTCCTGGAGTCCGCTCCTCCGTCGGCCCCTCGCGGCGGCAGGGGCCCAGGGCAGGCGCGGCCCAAGTTGGCCCTCCTCACCGCCGAGTGGGCCCCGCACGCGCGGCAGACGACGTAGGGGCCGACGACCTCCACGACGCGCGCCCTCCTGAGGTCCTCCTCAGCGCACGGCGGGCCCTCGAGGACAGGCGCGTCCGCCGCCTCCCTGCGTCTCCGAGGCGACCTCGACCTCCGAGGTGACCTCCCCGCAGCACTGCCGTCATCTCCATCATCTCCGCCTGCAGCTGCCGCCGCCACCGCCGCGCCAGCGCAGGCCGCCGCCGCCCTCACAGCGCCGCCAGCCCCACGCCCTGCAGCCGTGGACGCCCCCTGCCTTGCCGCCCTTTGCCTCCGTGCGCATGCGGCTCCCACTCTAGCCTCCAGCGAGCCCCTCTCCTCGCTGGACTGGTGGCCCACCGCCTGCCAGGGAGGGGGTGCGCAAGCGGAGGCCCACAGCTTCTTCTTTGTAGCCCACCGTAGTTATGCAGCTTATAACTTAGTTAGGCACACTTACAAGATAACTATTTATAACGTTGTTTATGAATAGTTATAGTTGCCTATATCTGGGTATAAAAGAGTTATAACTGTTCATAACTGTTTCATAACCGCTCGTAACTGTTTAGGCGTTTTCATAAAACGCATGTCGGCGCGAGAGAAGCGCATCTTCGATCGCGGCGAGAAACCATCACATGTTTTGACGACGCGCGGGGAACGGTATGTTTTAGCATCACCGCGCTCGATCGCGCGGACGGGCGCCAACCAACCCGACATGTGGGCGGGGAGTTATGGGCGGGAACTTGTGGGCGCGAACCCATGCAGGAACTTGCCTCCTGCTCCCCCGTCCACGCGCCCCCCTCACACGGATCGTGCCCCTGGCACCATCACACGGATCGTGGAGTCTGGACATGCAGGGCCGAAGGCCTATGGATATTGCACCCCTCACGCAGATCGTTGGGTCTCAGACCCAACGATCAGGGACGTGCAGGGCCGAGAGCCTATGTATTGGGCCGCCAGTATACATCCACATGGCGCATAGGCGCATGCCCAGTGGCACGCAGAGCCCCAAGACGGGCCCAAGAAAAACGGGATCCGCGAACGAGGGGTTGGGGCGGGCAGTCACGACCCTTCCCCCCCCCAGCACTTGGCGTTGGAGGGGAGGGGGTCGTGACCTTCGCCCCCGCCCGTGGGAGCCCCCATTCGCGGACCCAGGGAACGGCAAGGCGGAAACCTGGGCTATAGGCGTCCCAAGATGCCCAGTAGGCCCCAAGATGCCCATAAGGTCCCCAAGACGCCCATATATGGGCCCCGAGAAAAGCGGGATCCGCGAAGGAGGGGTTGGGACGGGCAGTCACGACCCTTCCCCCCCCCAGCACTTGGCGTTGGAGGGGAGGGGGTCGTGACCTTCGCCCCCGCCCGTGGGAGCCCCCATTTGCGGACCCAGGGAGCGGCAAGGCGGAAGCCTGGGCTACCCAAGATGCCCATGGCAAGCGAACCCCAAACGCCCCAAGATGCCCTATAGACGGGCCCGAAACGCCCCAAGGGCCCCATGATGCCCTATAGACGGGCCCCAAACGCCCCAAGACGCCCAAATATGGGCCCCAAGACGCCCTATATACGGGCCCCAAGACGGCCATATAAGAGCCCCAAAGGCTCCACGACGATCCATCTTGGCGCACCCCTCACACAGACGTGCACTTGTCAGTGCGCCGCTCAGCAGAGAGGGAGAGGGAGAGAGATAGAGAGAGAGAGAGAGAGCTCAATAGGGTTTCTCTCGTCCTCCTCCCCCTCCTCCTTGTGGCCAGGTTCGCCAGCCACTGAGAGAGAGAGAGGGAGAGAGAGCTCAAGGGGGGTTCTCCCGTCCTCCTCTCCCCCTCCTTGTCGTGACCAGGCTCGCCGGCCACCTCCCCTCCGTCTCCTGATCGCCGTCGTTTCCTCAGTCTATCGCTGTCGCCGTCGCGCAGGTCGCAGGGGCGGCTGACGGCGATCAGGAAACGGAGGGGAGGTGGCCAGTGAGCCTGGCCATGAAGAGGAGCAGGAAGGGGATGGGGCATCAGCGCTGGCTGTAGTAAGGGGTGCAGGAGGAGGAGGACGATGATACTTGGATAGCGGCGGTGATGGATGGATGCATGGATTTGTTTGTTTTATGTTGTAGTTGTTTTATGTTTCTCAGGTTGCGCATGGTTTGCGCGGTTGGAATCCCCTCTTGAGTCGCTGGGCCCATCCCAGCAGCTGTGGCTTTGGCCAGGCATGGCGCTGCGAGCGAACGAGGCGAGGCGTCGAGAGGTTGAGAGCGGAGGCTGAATAAGATCATTGCGCAGCTCATGCACGGCGGCCCCCCCCAAATCGAATGCATAAAAACATGATATATCCCGCCATCGCACAGGGCGACGGATGCGGCTTCGGCGGCGAGCCTGCCTCTAGAGCTGAGGGATACCAGCCTAAGCATTCTGCCAATACTCAGCCATGCGCTTCCACGACGCGGCCCCGTCGACCTTCCAGCTGAAGGCCTTGTCTGGCCGCGTTCCAATTTTCCTGATGCGCCACTGCTGCCGCTTCATGTCCGTCATGAGGCGAAAGTCTCCCACCGTCACCGCGTCCTTCTCGGCCTTGGGAACCCCTGGGTACTTCAGAGGCCACACCTTCTTGCTGGTCCCCACCTTGGCTTTTGTCATGACCGTGTCCGAAGAGACCGCTGCTGGCTTGGCTTTTTTCATGACAGGGGCCGCTGCAGGGCGCTTGCACACGGAGCCGGCGGCTGGGACAAGCTTCTCTGGCTGCGCGATGTCCTTCTTCAGCTTCTTGGCGAACGAGTCCGCCATCTCATCGATGGACATCTTGACCTTGCCGCCCGAGCCCTTGCCGGCCTTGGGCTTCGGGCTTGGGGTAACAGCATCCTCGAGGCCAGCGGCCGCGACCTCGATGCCGTCCTCGTCCGCCAAGGCCAGCGGCGCCCCCGCCGCGGGCCCCGCCGCGGGCGCCACCGCGAGCGCCACCGCGGCTGCGTCTCCGACCGCTGCAGGCGCCGCCACGGTAGCCGGCGTCGTTGGAGGCTGCTGGCGACGGCCGCTGGCGATATCCTGGCCGAGCGGGGTCAAGCGAAAGCCTGGGAGGCAAGGAATCTCTCCGCCGCCACCGCCGGCCATCAGGCCGATAGCGAGCTGGGCGAGTGCGTTCTGCTGCTGCGGGTGGTTGGTGCGGCCGTCGGTGATCGCAAGCATCCTGCCGTGGCTGGCGATTGCGGTGTGGGTCTTGCGGCACGGCAGCTGGTTCCTGAAGGAATCGACAAGCCAAACGCTCGCAAAAAAATGAGGAGGAGGAGGAGGGCGGATGCAGGGAGAAGGATGGAGGGGGGAAGAGAGAGAGAGAGAGAGAGAGAGAGAGAGAGAGAGAGATATAGAGAGAGAGAGAAGGTGGGAGAAGGAGAGCGAGAGGGAGGAAGGGGGGATGGAGCGGGATGGGGGGAGGGTGGAGGGAAGGAGATTGAGGGGCGCGTTCATTGGCCGAACTTTCAGACATCTATTGTTAGCCGATTCCCCAGAGTCGCAGTTTTGCTTGAGACATCCTCTCAAAAATTGCACACTCCCATCGTCTTTCGACGAACAAGCGTTTCGTTCGAGACGATCAGCATTGAGGGCAGGGGGTCAAAGGGTGGAAATCGGTAGGCTCGCCACCTGAAATCGCCATGGCCCTCCTTCCCCCGCTCCCTTCCCCCTCCCCGTCCCTCCTCCCTCCCCCTTCCACCCCCCTTCGCTTTCACTGGCTACTTTGCTAGCTCCCTCCATCCACCTCCTTACATTTTGTGGCTTCGCCTTCCCGCCTGAGCTGGTGAAGCAGCATCTCGTTCACCTGGTTCGGCGCCGGCGGGTCGGACTCGTAGACGCTCTCGAAGATGTGCGGGTAGATCTGGTGCAGCATGTGCGGGTTGTCAGGGAATCTGGCCACCTGCCCGTAGTGCGCCAGCCTGACCCTGGCTCTGACCTGCTGCAGGATGTTCTTGAGGTCGTTCTTCAGGGTCCAAGCGTTCGTCGGATCGACGTTGTTGATGTCCCCGCTGTTGTTGTGCAGCAACAACATCCCGACGGCGTGGATCAACGTGGGTTCAGTAGGGAACACGCAACCGAGGCGTTCAAACCTCCTCGCGATCACGCGTAACTTCTGGTTGGTTGGCATGGCGGCGTCTCCGAGTTGAACCCAATCGCGGTTAGTCATGAAGTGCTGCAGCGTGAAGAACACCTGGGCCTTCGCCCTGCGGCCGCCCGGCGCGGTCGCTCCAACGTGCGTGGCTTTGACGTTCACGGCATCGGTGATCTCGGCCCTCTGCGGTGCAGTGAAAGAGCTGTCGGAGAGCAGGGCGATGCAGTCGGCCGCGTCGTTGAAGTTCAGACTGCGCACTCTCCCCAGGCACTCGAAGAGGGACGCCTTCGCCGACTGCGCCAACGGGGCGACCCTGTCAGGATCATTCCCGCTGGCGTCGATGTTGGCACGCAGGAAGTGCAGCACGGCTCGGAAGTGGTCGGCCATCGTCGACGTTGGTTGCGCCATGTCGCGGAGAAATTGGCGCCTTGATCGGGCCTTAACGCAGGGTTGTGGATCCGAGTCTTGAGCCAAAATGGCACTTGATAGGATGGCGGTTGTTATGCTCGCCCCCGCCTCATCCCGCCTCCCTCCTCCAACTTCCCGCCTCCCTCCTCCACCTTCCCGCCTCCCTCCTCCACCTTCCACCGCTGCCCCCCCCCTCATGCTCACCCCGCTCGGGCGGGCCAGGCGTTCTCGGGGCCCGCGCTGGAAGGGAGGGATGAAGGAGGAAGAGGAAGAGGATGATGATAAGGAATCAGAAGAGAGAGAGGACGCAAGAGGGAGGGAGAGGGTGAAGAGGACGAGGAGGAGGGCGACGACGATGAGGAGGCTGAGAAAAGTGAAGGAGGAGGAGGAGAATGAGAGGGAGGGGGGAGCTCTCGGGATCAGAGACCCTGCAAGTCCCGATAAGACGGCACTGAGGGCAGGGGCGACGAAGGCACCAGAGGGGGCTCGTGGGGTGTTTTCCTCGGCGGCAACGTTGTATAAAGCGACTGCGAAGCGAAGGAGGGCGAGCCTCTCCTGCGCTAGATAGCGTTGAAATGCCCTGTGCGGCCCACATCGGCAAAACTTTAAAAGTCTGAGCGCGAGCATGCTTCACGTGTGCGTGTGTGCGTGTGCGTGTATTCGTGCTTCTGCGTGCGTGCGTAAAGCGGTAGGGTGCGCCCCAGGGCCCCATGGCCCATGGGGCTCTTCTGTAGTGAAGCTCGCACGCGCTCACTCGTCAGCATCAGAATTCTCAAAGCTGACTTCCACTTTAACCCGCATGCGCTTGCAAGCCGCAGGTTTCGAATTGAGGATTTGGCTGCTGCTGCTGCTGCTGCTGCTTGCTGGCTTGTGGTGCACTGCCGCCTTTGGCTTGGCCTTCGCCTTTGCCTTGGCTTTCGCCTTCTTAGGCAATGGGGCCATGCGCAGGCGCTCGATCCGATCGTAGATTGGCAGCTCAGCACAGCCGGGCCTAGGAGCGCGGGGCCAACTCCCCAAGTCAAAGCTCGATTGCTGCAGCGCGTCGATCATTGGGTGCATCACCGCCATTATAAGCGGCGGCGGGAACGCATTCCCAGCGCCCTTGACCGCAACCGCATGGCTGGGCATGTGAAGCGCGGCGCTAGGAGGCAAGCCCTGGAGCGCAAGTCGCTCCGTCGGGCGCAGGAATCTAAAGAACGAGCGGTCCTTATCAGGAACCTCGCTCAGGATATCTGAAACACTCATGACGAACAGATAAAAATTACGCGTTGTGAGAGTGGGGCAGAAGTTGGGGAAGCAAGGAGGGGTGTAGACGCCGTCGATGGCGCGATCGGTCGAAATCACTACGAGGTCATCTTCGGAGAGTTCGTCATCGAGAAACTTCTGCTTCACGTTTTCCTCCTGGGCCTTCACGTTCTCCTTCTGAGCCTCGGTGAGGCTCTCGCGATCGATCGGGGGGAACTTGCCGAGAACTTCGCGCAACTGACGGGTGCCGAATGGAGGCAGGGGCTTCGGGACAGCAGGGACGATGTTCTTCCGCATGCCTCGTGTGAAGACTCTGCTGCGGTTCTGGGGTAAGAAGTAAGCCGCCGCCCCGACACTGCGGGTCAAGGCGCGCGGGGCCGGCCATGGGACGAGGAATGGGGATGGGGTGAGAAAGCGAGGGGAGGGGGGTGCAAGTGGAAGGAGAAGGCTACCGTCCCTCCTGCCGCTCCTTCCCTTCCTTCTCCTGACCCCAGCCCCGCTACTCCTCCTCCTCCTCTTCCCCCGTAAAACTCACTCGGGAACTTTGTAATCGTGGACGCGCGCCGAATTGCGCGCGCGTGTGTGTGCGGGGAGAGGGTGAGAGGAGATGGAGGCTGGCTACAGCAAGGCGACACGCGCAAGCTTACATTTCTACAGCCTCTGCTGGAGGCGGAGCCTCAGACTGAGGCTCCTCGCCATCGTTGAGAACGGGAGGGCGCTTGCGCGCGAGCCATTCGCTGTACCGCGACGGGCTCTCGATATCCTCGGGAGTCTCTCCCGAGCATGCTCCAGCAAACGGATCTGCTGCAGCAAACGCGCTTCTCGGTAGTCTCGGCGACCGGCTCCGGTCTCGCTGGCGGGGATCGTCAGCATTGGCATTATCGCCCGTGCCCCTCGCTGCACAATGGTCTAGCAGCCAAAGCACCGTGTCCTTTGTAGCCACCAGCGCCAGGGCGATCAAGGAAGCGAGCTCAGCTTGCATCTCGTTCGCCTGTTCAGGCGGGTCTGCGTGCTCTGAGAGCGCGGCCCCCTGGCTGTCGTCGCTCACTGCGATCACCTCCCATACCTCCTGCGGCGATGGTGACGCTGCAATGGGAAGTTCTGGGGTCTCGCCGTAGCACTGGCGATAGAAGTGGTCGAGCTGAGCTTCGTGTTCTGCGAGCTGAGCTTCGCGTTCTGCGAGCTCGAGCTGGCCCGCCTCGGCGGCCAGGGAATCGTCCATGGCGATCGCTGCGTCGATTTCCTGCTCCGTCGGGAAGCGATCCGAAAATGCGGATGTCATCGAAACGTTTCAGTGGAAGCCTTGGCTGGCTTTGCGTTGGCGTGGCGTGGCCCGAGGCCCGTCACTTCAGCCAAAACGGCTATCGGAGCGGAATTAACAGGCGGAAGGAAGAAAAGAGAGGGCTGACTGGGGGGTGGAAGCGGGGGGGGGCCAGGAGGATGAGGAGGAGGATATACAGAACGGGGTGGTGGTCGAGGATACGAGACCTATGTTGCTTCACATCAGCAATTTGGCCCCTGCTGACTTTTTTCAAAATAATATATTGGGATGAAACGCTGCCGCTGGATATATCGAGCACAGTTGATCACAACACAAACGCTCCTGCGATCCCCGCCAAAATGGCAAGAAATGGTAAGCTCAGATCCGCATGGCTACATTGCAACCGAACCGCTTGACCACCATCTCGACCGAACTGGCGGAATTCGACCACGCGTCCGACAAAATACGTTCGACGAGGGATGCGCTGCACAATGCCCCGGCCACGGGCAGCGCTACGAGGGAAAGCGGGCCCTTCGATGTGTCACTTTCAGCGCCCGTGAAAGTGACACCTCCCAGGGCCCACTTAAAGAGCACCAGAAAGGCTCCAAGAAGGCCCCGAGAAGGCCCCAGGGCGGCACCAAGAGGGCTCCCAGAGGGACCCAAGAGAGGCCCCAAGAAGGGCCCAAGAGGGCCCTCCGCGGTGTCACTTTCAACGCCCGTGAAAATGACACCTCCCAGGGCCCACTTAGGGCCTCAGAAAAGCTCTAAGAAGGCCCCGAAAGGGCCATAGAGAGCCGCCCTGGGTTCAACTCCGCGTGGCGGAGTTGGAAGCGATAACTTCAATACCCTACTGGAGGCCTCTTAGGGGCCCTAAGACGGCACTGAAGAACCCCATCGGGGCTTTTTCAAAGGCAGAGGAGGGCGCAAAAAGGGGCCTCAGTGAGCCCCTGGTCTAACTCCACCTGGCGGAATTGGAAGCGATATCGCCCGGCGCCTTCATGGAGCCGCTCGGAGCTTCCAAGACGGCTCCAGAAGGCCCCAGGAGGGCCCCAAGAGGATCGAACGACGATTCCTGGAAGTGCACCAGTGAGACCCTTGTTGACCTCCGCCTGGCGGAGTTGGAAGCGACAATTTCCAGTGCCCTCTTGGGGCCTCTGGGGGGCCCCTCAGAAAGCTTTGGGGAGCACAGTGAAGGCCTTCGCAGGGCCGCGTGAGAGCCGTACCAGGGCCGCATGTGTGCGCGGATGGGGGCGACGAGTGCTGACGCTGACGAATATGAGAATGATGAGGGCGATCAAGGCTGGCCCGAAACAAATCCTGGCGCCATTGCAGGCCGCCGATTATCGGCCACGCCGCCAGGACGACGCCAAGCAACAAAACGACACCAACCAACAAACCGACACCAACCAACAAACCAACAAATCGACACCGGCCAACAAAAGGACACCAAGCAACAAAACGACACCAAGCAACAAAACGACACCAACCAACGAAACGACACCAACCAACAAAACGGCACGAATCAACAAAACGGCACTGACCAACCAAACGACAAATCACTTCACGACACCAATGAACAACGCGAAATCCACCGACCGCCAACCAAGCATAAAATCAACCGACACAACGAAACCAACCCATAGAGCCAGACCAACCACTGGATTCGTGAGTCGGGGTAGTCATGGAAGTGAGCCGCTGCAGCCCGCGGAAGCCATTAACAGTGACCAGAGCACCGCAATGCAGCAACGTCCCCGGGCGGCGGCGGGAGTCTTGGATCTCCCGCGGGACTGGAGCGTAGCGAGTTCGTCCTGGGTCCGGTTTAGTGAAGTGAAGAATTTCGGGGTGCTTGCATGGCAAAAACCTTCACTTCACTAATCTGGGGCCCCTGGAGCCCCAGGGCGTTTCAGGTCCCCTCGCTGTCTGGGTAGTCCAGGGGGCGCAGTGGCGGCTTACCAGAGGCCCTGTTCCCTAGCCTCACTTGCTTTCACCCGTGGTGCTCGACGGCCGTCTCGGAGCTGTCTTGTGGCGGTCTGGGGCAATCCCGAAGCCTCTTGGAGCCATCCCAAGGCCCCAAGGCGCCACCAATGGGGGCCCCAAGAGAGCTCCCAGAGGGCCCCGAAAGGCCTACAACAGATTGCACGTTCGCGCGAATTCTTTGTACCACTTTGGGGGGTCCCTCTTGGGGCCCTCGGGGAACGTTCTTGGGGCCCTCCGAGGGCCCACTGGGGCCCCGGGAAGGCCCCAAGAACGCTCCCAGAGGGCCCCAAGAATGCTCCAAGAGGGCCCCAAGAGGACCCCCACAAGTGACAAAAACTATTTGCATGAGGGTGCAACTTACTCGGCGCCTCTTGGGGCGCTCTTGGAGCCGTGCTGGGCGCCACTCGTGGACGACATGGGCTGGGCGACGGCATGTGGACCCTGTCGCTTGGGCCATCGGGGGTGCTCCCCAATGGGGCCACGAAGCTTGTGAGCGTATGACGGAATGGGCTGGGCG